GTTAGGATTGTCCGTTGTCGCAGGAGTTCCTCTTATCCAGTTTTCAGTTCTGTCTCAGGGGTAATTTTTCCACGAGTAGTTGTAAATTGGCTGTGTCCGCGGGAGGAGGTGAGTTCAGAGTCTGCCTACGCCGCCATCTTGACTCCTGATTCCTAATCTGTAAACCTCTTGAGGGCAGACACTGGGTCTGCACATATATCCCTGCACCCTAGCAGTGCAAGGCGTATACTAGACTCAGTAAATATTTGTTGAATGACGTGCACAGTCTAGCAAATCGGAAGATTTGTTTGTGAGTAATTTTAACAAATACTGGAAAGTTAGATAATTCATGTCTGCTGTATTCCTACATACAGTATAGATGTATTTTTATAATATTTTCTTCAGATTGCTTTTACTTCATGTTACTTTGTCTTTTTTTTTTCTTTTAAATTTCTCTTTAGGATTTGTTTAGCCTAATAGAACAGAGCATTTGTTTCCTAAGTGAGCGTTTAGTGTCCTGGAAAGCCAGGCATGTGCTGGTTAAGCTGTGCGCACTGTTAGAGTAGCGGGTACGGGCTTCCTGACGCTTCAGCCAGGACTCCCCTTTAGGTGAGCAGTGCACTTCAGCATGTAAGATGCATTGGCACTTTAATAGATGAAACTGATGCATAACAGTTTGATTCTTCTTAAGTACTAATGATAGTGAAGTGGTATAGAATTGGTTCTAGTCTTGTGGCTAGGTAATAAGAAAAAGCAGAAAATACCAATAACTGGTAGAAATAAAAATATTTATGAAGGGCCGGCCCCGTGGCTTAGCGGTTAAGTGAGCGCGCGCCACTGCTGGTGGCCCGGGTTCGGTCCTGGGTGCGCACCCACACACCACTTCTCCGGTCGTGCTGAGGCCGCGTCCCACGTACAGCAACTAGAAGGATGTGCAGCTATGACATACAACTATCTACTGGGGCTTTGGGGGGAAAAATATTTATGAAGCTTTCTAAAATAAAGACAATTAAGATTTCAATTCTACTTTGCCTGTCCATTTCCATTATTTTTTTCCAGTTTAAGGAGAATTAATTAATTTAGGACATCTTTTACTAAAATTACTATCTTCTGATCAGCCAACACCAGGGTAAAGTAGTGGAAGGTGAAAGAAGGCAGGTCTTCTTCCTCTTTGACCTTGGGGCTGGCTGCCTGTCTGGTAGCAAAGAGGGATTCTGGCTATAACCAGCCAGGACTGCACCACGAAGCCCCTCACCAAACTCCCAGAGGCAGAGCCAGGTCATGGGAATTTCTAGAAGGAAGAGTGCTGGGTTTGGTGATTTTTATTTTTTAGCCATCAAAAGATCTTGAGAGTAAATGAGCTTCAAGAGCTGAGAAAGCAGCCATAGACTTGGTAATTTGTAAAGCTTTATGAAATTATTAATGAACTTCTGGGAGCCAGTTCAAATGTTGTGTTCAGCTACAGGGCAAGCAAGGGCCTCAGAAGGGGCCAATGCATATATTTCCAAGGGTACTTTATTTGATATAAATGGGCAAAAATTGTGCTAGTACCAACCAGACCTTACTTTTAACTTCTCCAAGCAGAGCCTAGAACTAAATATAGTTCTGGAGATTCTTTCTGTAGGAACAATTACCTTTATGTGTTTCATTAATTAGTATTAAAAATTATAATAGTTATATATGTTCACTGTAACAAAAATGAAATAGTACAGAATAATATAAATAAAAAGTCTCACTCACTTTTCAAGGGTGACCGCTTAACTCTATGTCTTGGATATACTTTTTATACTGGTTAGATAAAGCTCTGTACTATTCTTTTAAATTAAAACATCATATTCTGTCATATGGCTGTAACGTAATTAATTGATATTTAAGTTACGTCGGGTTTTTTCCTATTCTAAACAATAACTCAGTGGACATATGGATGTTCTCTATGCATATCTTTGCCCACATGTGTGACAGGTTGTGGGATGGATTCATAGAAGTAGAAAGTACTGAGTCAAAGGGATAAATATTTCTAAGTTGCCATCCAAACTTGCCGCACTGGTTTACTCTCCCACTAAGAGTAGATATGTGTGTTTTCCTGTACTGTCATCAAGCTTGAGGACTATTGGTGTTTTACACCTTAGCCAGTTAGATAGGTTAAAATTCAATCTGACTGCCCAGAAAGACTATCTTTCCTATGAGATTATTTTAAAATAAAAATCCACTCAGTTTTTTATATTTTAGAGTTTCATATTGCTAATTTAAATTTTTGACTAGCAGGAATTTATTTTGGTATAAGGAGTGATGTAAGGATCCAATGTTATTTTTGTTTTCTAAGTGGCTAACCATTTGTCCTGACACTTTTTATTGAATAATCTTATTTTCTCTGTTGATCTGAATAGTGCGAGAGACTGCAATCCAGGTCTTTTGTAAACAAAAGTTCTGGCATTTTTATAGTTACTGAGCCTTTCCCTGACTATTTTACACTTTTCCTGATGTGAAAATCTCACATTGACTCAAGGCTCAAGTTAACCACTTTGTAATAATGAGTTATACTGAAGTTGGATGTTCATCCTATAGACTCTACCCCAGTAGACTAATTTCTTTGAGAGGTAGATGAAAAGGGGATCTTCATAGTGAAATAGTGAGCTCTCCTTTATTTTCCAATTGCTTTGTTAATCACTGGTGAGAACTTGGGAATGTGTTTGACTACTTCTTGGGGACTCTGTCAGGAATCTTACTCTAAAATTAACTTCAGGACTTGGAAAGTGGCCTCCTGCAGGCCTTTGCCTTATATACTGTGATTGTCACACAGAGGTTTCAAGCAGAAAAAAAGACACAAACTAGATTTGAACTTTCTAGAGACCGGTAGTTTGTCTCTAGAAAATGGTTAGTCAAACTAGGTTTAGATGAAGTTTGGCCACAGTAGTTTTGGGGGGTGGTGGCGGTTAAGTTGGGACATATTGAATATAAATATGATATTTCCTGTGTAATATTTCATTGCTGATGATTTCTGTACATGAACTTGTAAAGTTGTTTGATCATTTGCGAGTTCCTTTTGGGCTCTGCAGTGACTGCAGTAACGTGTGTTTTTGTGCATCCAGGCATGGTGTCTGTCTTGGACCTGATGCAGGGTGGTTTTCCGTCACGAGCTTCCTTTCATGAACTCTATAACATGTATAAGAAGTATATGCCAGACAAACTTGCAAGATTAGATCCAAGGCTATTTTGTAAGGTACAAATACCACCTAAGTAGAAATTTCTCAACAATAAACTGTCTTTCTTATTAATTACTAGTTGGCATTTAACTTTTTAACTTTTATTTTTCAGGCTCTTTTTAAAGCCTTGGGCTTAAATGAAATTGACTACAAGTTTGGGTTAACAAAAGTATTTTTTAGACCTGGCAAGGTAAATACGTTTTTATTTTAAACTTGAACATGATAGTTATGAATAATTGGGGTCAGTGAATATTTTTAAGTGTTTAGTGATTTGTATTATTCTTCAATTATATGATCACTGACAGCATGCATGTATGTGTGTGTGTGTGCATGTGCACACACAGTTTCCCCACTTGTGAGAAGTTTGCCATGTGTAATGCTCTATACAGTTTTTACATTTTTTTTCAACTTTGGAAGTATTGGAATCAGACCATTGTTTAATTGGATTTTTTTGCTTAAATAAGGGTTAAATAGAAAAATACTTCTGTTTTAAAAAAGTTGAAAGCTTTTCTAAAACACATTAATTCAGTCTTAAATAATTAAAAATTTCATAGTGCTTTTGAGTCTTCGTGGTGAGAACAAGTTCAATTAGAGTATGATAGATGTGTAAGGTATAGGAAATTGGACTGGGGTTCGTGCTGACTTCTGTTAAACCCTAGAATGAATAAATGTATAAATACTTTTGTATGTAACATAATTTTCTTAGGCTAACCCCTAGGTTAGTATTTACAGGTTCTTTTACTAGGTTCTTGTACAAGACTGAGTTATAGAATATTTCATAACTAAATATATACAATACAGAAATACCTATATGCTAGTTACAATCTGTTTGTAATATTTTCACCATTCCTAACTTCTTTAATATTGATTGAATAATTAATTGCATCTTCATAATTTTAAACACAATTATTATATAATACCAACCGTACTTGTTTGATTTAGCAAAATCATTAATAAATATCTCTAGTGCCTTGAATTCTAAGTTAATCATAATAAATGGATCTGATTTCACATTTTGTGGCATGAGATGAAATCTATGTAATGCGTTACTGATGTATGCACTTCCCTGTGAATATTTTTACTGCAGAGGACCCATATCTATAAAAGAAAAAAAACTAAGAGAAAATGAATATATAAATATTCATAATTGGCTTAGCTGTAATCATACATGTCTATCATAAACTCGACATTTATTTCACAACTATAGTAATTATTCTAGAATTAATAGCCTGATAGAGAAAGCACTTGGTCTTCTTTGCCTCCAGAAAAATTAATCAGAAGGATATGTTGAAAGCACAAGACAGATTATCTTTAATCTCATTGTTACCTTTAATTTAATTTTTATTATAAGAGGCCGTTATGTTGGTAGGTGTGTGACATCCTCAATATGTTGTAGTGAGATATTTGTAAAGGAGAGAAATAATTATGTAATTTGGTGGTAGATTGTGAAAATAATGCATTTTATTCATTAATAACCTAATAGCTCTTTTATTTGTTACCTGCCTCTTAGTAGCAATTTTTGATCTCTGACCAAAATAGGGATGGGGATTGGGAGAGACAGATAGTTTTGGTGGTACCTGATAGTATATTGCTGCCCTTCACTTGTCAGGAGACACACACAGCCATCTGAGAATGTGATTGAGCCAATTTAGAGATGTATTAGCCCTTTTTTCATTCTTTTTTCAATAAAACCTTTTTTGGCTAACCATCTGTAATTGTCAGTTAAGATTTCTTTTCTACTTTTATTATTGAATCTGCTAACTAGCAATGAGTAACCCACCCCCGTAACCCTCCAAAAGAGATCCTGAAGGAAGGAAGAGAAAGGCAGCAAAATGTATTCCCTGCTGGGACATGTTTGTGTAATTGGCTTATGACCGTTTCCAGAAAGTTCGATTTCGGATTTGAGTTCTAGTTATTTTGTATCTGTCTGTGTGTTTCTACGCATTTATCTTTTGATACTGATATTAAATTATTTTATTTCCTAGTTTGCAGAATTTGATCAGATTATGAAGTCTGACCCTGACCATTTAGCAGAGTTGGTTAAAAGAGTCAATCACTGGCTTGTCTGCAGTCGATGGAAGAAAGTTCAGTGGTGCTCACTCTCAGTCATCAAATGTAGGTGTTTTCTTTCACACCATGATCTGTAGTTATTTTGGAAATGAGCTGGTTTGTGGAGTGTTCTAAAGTCTGTCTCAGTGCTGAGTGCTGAGCAACAGGGCCTATGTCTGGTTTCTCAACACCTCACATGTAGTATGTGATAAATTAGTATTTGTGGACTTTTAAAATTCTTTTGAATGTATAATACTTATCTTCTTTATCTGAATGTGTTCTAGGAGAGTTAATTTCATCATGTCCTAAACGAAACAGAACTCACTTTCTTGATTCTTTCCTCTCTCTCTCCTCCATTGCCCATGCCATCCCCCGATCTCAGACTTAAGCCAGAACTTTTCTCTTTTCCCTGCATGACGTCACTAGTACACATGTGAAAAATTTCAAGATTGTGTTTGTCTCTCCTTTCTTGTCCCTTCAAATGTTGTCGGTTGGCAAACCCTGTTGGTTCCTCCTCCAGATTACTGCACACTCTTTCCTCTTTATCGCCAGAGCTTAGTGGAGCCCCTCTTCTTAATTGACGTAGTAGCTTCAGTCGCTCCCAAATGGCTTTTCCTGGCCTTTCAGAGCTGTCTTCCCAGAGTTTTCTCTCTAAACTAAGAGGCTTCTATTAAGGCTGTCCTTTAATAAGGGCGAAGTCTGAAGTCTAAGAATGTCTTTCAAGACCCCGTGGAGTGGGGTTTCAGCTTCCCTTTCCAGCCTTTTCTCCTGCCACTGCTGTTTTACACCCTGTTCTCTGACACACTAGGGTGAGCTCTTTTGTGTGTGTTTCTGCCAGGTTGTAGCAACTACTTATCTCTGACCCAGAACAGGGGTGAGGGGCAGAATATTTTTGGGTTACCTGAGGGTCTATGGCAAACCTTTAATTGTAGGGAACTATTGTCAGTAACTTGATTAAATTTATAATCCACCCCCCCCATACTCTCCAGAATACCTGGAGCAGTGAAGGACATGAAGAGGATTCAGTAAATTGTTCCTTATTAATATAAAAATAAAATTTCTTTGACCTAATGAAAAGGAACCATACAAACAAAGATTATTATTGAGATCTTTTGTTAGACCACTGTGACTATGGATAAAAAGAAAACTATAATAAAGAAAAAAAGATAGCAGAAGCTCATTTTCCCAGTAAAATATACACGTATTTGTCACCGTAGTTCAGTTCTTTCAGCTTTATACCTTGCGTTATGATAGAAAACACGTTATATTAAAATTATACTGTACCACTCGTTTGTGCGCTGTGCTGTGCCGTGCTGAAGTCAGTAACCAGACAGGATCTTTGCAGGGTGTTAGTAGGGAAGCTCTGAAAACAGTGTCTCGAGGTTGGATCAGTCTAGGACATTCTGGATAACTGAAGTTAAATAGGTTCCTTTACTGTAGGATTCTCAGAGGCCTTCCTCAGTATGTTCATTGTGAATCTCCTAGAGGAGGTACAGCATATAGCATTTCCTAAATTCATTTGACAGGTGGATCTTCTTTTCAAGACACACCTGTTAACATTTCATAGACCAGTATTGCCTAGGGCAGTTTGGGAAGCAGTAGTGTAGCATAATAAGGAAATAATACATTTAAAATGTAAACCTAGCCATATACGTAATCTGCTTTTTATTTTAAGAAGTGTAAGGAATTAAAGAAATGTTAAACTTAGTGATTTTGATGTCTGGTATAATATGTTCATCAAGATTTCATGTTTCTTGAAAATTGCTTTGTGGAAATGAATGGTTTTTAAAAATATTATATGTCTGATTTAACCGAATAATTTTCTGTTATTCTCCTCTTACACATAGTGAAAAACAAAATAAAATATCGAGCTGCAGCCTGCATTAAAATGCAAAAAACTATTCGAATGTGGCTTTGCAAAAGGAGACACAAACCTCGGTAAGATGAATAGTGCCTAAAGAATCCTACAAAGCCTATTGCCCTTATTGTGCAATGGCTTTGAAGTCATAATGAAGAGCACTTTGCATATTCACAGAGTTTTCTGTTTTCTTTTGTAAAAAGATATGTTAGTCTGTTATTTGTAATATTTATTTGAAATTAATTAATTACTTGCCTCATTCTAAAAAAGAAATTGAAGTAGCTTACAAAAATGTAAATGCTATAAAAAGTTGAAATAAGCTCTTTTGTTCTGATTATTTTCATGACTTGAGTTTCTTGATAAGTGTCAAATTAACATTGTTTTTAAAAACATCTCAATAATATTTTCACGATTATCTGTAGGGATTATATTGTCTCACTGTAAATTTAGTCTTTATTTCTTGTTTCAGTCTTTTATTATTAATTTAGACTCTTTAAACTGGGAGGTCTAAGTAATTGTTAATCCTTAACATCTTTTCAAAGAAATTAGATGACTTTGTTTTCCATTTATTTTATTGAGGTCATATTGGTTTATAACATTGTGTGATTTCAGATGTACATTATTATATATCAGTTTCTGTATAGACTGCATCGTGCTCAATAGTCTAATTTTCATCCATCACCATGCATATGTGCCCTTTACCCCTTTCGCACCCCCCCCCACCTCTGGTAACCACTAATCTGTTCTCCTTATCCATGTATTTGCTTATCTTCCACATATGAATGAAATCATATGGTATTTGTCTTTCTCTGTCTGGCTTATTTCGCTTAACATAATACCCTCAAGGTCCATCCACGTTGTTGCAAATAGCTCGAATTTGTCCTTTTTTTTTTTTTTTTTGTGAGGAGATCAGCCCTGTGCTAACATCTGCCAATCCTCCTCTTTTTTTGCTGAGGAAGACGGCCCTG